ATATTTTTTAGGTTTTATATATACAGTTGAATAACCAAAAAATTCATAAATTACTATATCAATACCACGCGAGTCAACAAATGCGATGACATGGCCTTTGACCTGTGACCTGTCTGGAGAGGATTAACATATTATTTGATTACATAAGTAATTTTATGAAGTATATATATATATATATAATTACTTTTAGCTTGAGTATTGATTGATGCCAAAGTAAAAGCGAATTTCCTAGAAATAATTATTTTTTTAAGTTCTGAATCTTACTGTAATTTTTAAAAATATGTAAATTTGCATCACACTTATGACATATAAGATCATTCACAGTAATAAAATATTCATTGTGATAGAAGTTTAACATGTCTGTTTTATAAATGGAATAAAACATTCTGATTGAATGATTTAACACTTGCCACATGAGCCAGCCCACATTATTTTAGTACTAAGCCTAGGATGGTCAACAGGTGGGTCATTCTGGAAACCAGTGATTTAAGGTTATTTTGATAGATCTTGATGAATGAAGCTCGGCAAAACTTCTAAAATGAAAAAAAAACAACTAAATATTAATGAAAATATGACATGATGAAATCTATAAGGATTATACTATGGTGGTACTGCATTATACTTTCCTTCTTCTATTTACTCTTCATTACAGAAACGGCATTTTTAATGTGAGAAGTGATAGGGGAATCATTATATAGTGCACTGATATTTATTTAGGAGGTTTTAGAGATTACACAAAATGAAATGTGACAATTTTCAGATGAAGAAAAGTATTTTTAATCTTAACATGAAAATCACTTTGCATTCCAAGCAGTCAACACTCTGACTCCATACGTTCGTGGACAAATCTTTAGTAAAAGTACTTAATCAAAAAAATCTGAATTTTTTTTGTACAAAAGACTGGTAATATTTACTGAAAGCTTGCCATATTTTATAGAGATACATGTACCACATTAAAAGTTATAGTATGAAAACTCTGATAGTTACTTTGGAGTTCAAAAGTTGGTGTACTCCACCAATCTAGTATGGAAAAGGTAATGGATGAGATTGAGAAAAATTTTGTGGAACCAAATATTATTTAAATTGATGTAGTCCCAGGTATTATATCAGACGTTATTCTTATTCAAGAGGATTGAATCTTCTATCGTATACTGACCAGTGCAGACCATTGTTTAACACAGTAATCCGAACAGTGTAAGTTAAAATGACCCCTGTGATATGTAACCTGCTTGAGGTAGGAATTAATGCAATTAAGAACAACTTCATGCTATTTAAAAGATATCAACTAAATATAAGAAAGTATATAAATGTTTTTTATAAATTCTTTGTTAATATGTAAATAGTAAATCTACTAGAATTTATCAAACACTATACCTAATTATCTCATCAGACAAACTTTTCGTACAACATTAGCCGTACTGGTCTCTGTACTATATTAGTGTGAGCATTTCATCAATGTTAAACCCCATTTCAATCGGAATAACCATATAATATACCTTTCTATATCCATGTTTTAACTGTCAGTTCACAAAGTTACACACAATTTATGTTCTTCATGTAAACCTGGCCTAGCTCTAACTGGTGGTGCAGGAGACTAGAGATGCTGCCATAGACAATATTTGATATATATTGTGGCCATGAGACATCCAAACCTTGTGAAGAAATGTGTAAACATCCATCCAGCTTTCACTGCAATTTCGTGGCACAGACTACAACAGTACAGAAAACACTTTTTGAGATTCCAAGATAGATTTGACATTTTTGAACTTTATAACATGCTTATCATACCTGGGGCAGTGTGAGATTTGATGTCCACTCTTGGCCAGTTTAAATCCTTTACTCTTTTGAGTGTATCACCACTGTTGATCATTAGATCTGTGTTCCTGATAACAAATAACTGGCTTTTAGTTTTTATTGCATTTTGATGAAAGCCAACAGAATTGTGGGTTATTTCAGTTGTTTGTAAAATATCTTGCACACTAGCTACCTCATATGAAAAAATAAGAAGATTGACTGTGATGGTAGTTGCAGGCTTGTTTGGTAATAATTTTGTTGGATTTTCCAAAGTATAATTGTGAATCCAAGTCTCTTCATGTGTGCTAATTACTGTTTGCATCATATACAGTATGGGCACCCTCCCTTATGTAAAGCTCATGTTAACAATTTAGTGTTTTGCACTTTAGTAATTATTTAGTCAAAGGAACGATATGAAACAACTGACTCTTTTAAACAAAATATTGTTAAAAGTGTTTTGCTAATGGTCATCCCTAATATGCTAAGGAGGATGACACATCACAAATGGAGACATATCATTCTGTGTCATGAAAATGAAGGTCAACAGACAGAATTTTAGATTATTAATAAAATATTTTGTTTGTCTGTGTCAATATGAGATAAGTAAATATGTCAATATGCAATAACTTCTTTCTTTTATATATGCTATATACGTCTATATTTGAGGGGGAGTTGCCTAGACTTCTTGCTCACCCTGTAATCCAGAATGATGATCAACAGTTGTGGTGTCAAGATTTCCCTTTGGTTTACTATGGTGCCCCTTTAGGACATCTACCAAGATGTCAAGTGTGCATGTTGCACTGTCTGGGATCTAAACAGTAGTGTAAATGATGATAAACTGATAGTAGTTTTCTAATTAGTTTGACTGAGAATTTCTGAACAAGTATACAGTCAGAATTAAGTGTGTCTAATACAATAATGTTTATTAGCATAGTTGTTTGAAAGAAGTTTTTATTCTTTTACATTTACATTAGATAAACTAGCTAACTTTTGTGATATTTGTATAACTTTCATGTGTATATTTAAAAGTAGGTGCAAAATTTGTTTTGTACAATTTGTCATAACATTTCTTGACAGTTATTGCACTATGAATTAAAATGGATTCTAGTATAGTTTCATTAAAGATTTGAAAACTCAAGTGGCAGAAATTGGGGTAAATGTTGGAAGTTTTGAAAATACAAAATCCTGCATAGATTCTGTAATTTTACTGTATTTGAAGTTATCAGTTAATCTTTTAAAGACATTAGTACCAAAGAATATTTTAATATAAATTAACATGAACTTGGATTTGTCTGACTTGGAAAAAACTATTATTTGTTTTAAACTGGCACTGGAGATGTTGATATACTTAAGTTTTGTTTCAAGAAGTACATGGTTTCATTGTTTTTTAAGTCTATCAATAATAAACTATGTACTGTTTTATACAGTACACATTTTTATATGATTATGTCAAACTTAATTAAATTTAAATTGAATGTAAATGGAAATATTAACAGGACATGTTCAGGTTTGGGTGTAAAATGCATGCATAAATGTTTTTCTAATGCAGGATTTTTACCTCTACCACTTAGGTGATGTTGTTGTTACCCAAGCATCAGATCTTTTAGTTTTTTTGTTGATTCCATTTCTTTCTTCCTCATGTGTACATATGCATGATTTGCAAATTTTTACACGCATAACAAGATGAAACGACTCATGATATCATCCTTTTGAAGAATTATAGTTCAGTCAGCATCAGTTATGTATACTTCCTTTGACTAAGTCTGCATCATTCTAATGAAATTTTACTTCCCCTCGAACTTTTATTTATCTGTATCTTTTATGATGGTTTTCAATTATTTTAGTAGAAGAGGCATTTTTTTTCTTAACCATTAAACTGTGGAGATCTTTGTATCATTTGCTTCTGATTTAGGTTGTCATATTAGTTTGGTACTTGGGATCTGTATCTTTCTATTGCAATTTTTGGTATTTTCTTAACCCCTTCGTTTGCCATTTTGCTTTGGCATTTCATTGTTTTCTTCATCCTTGGCATTTTATTCTTTCTTTATTGCTTACTTTGATGAATATTGTCGTCAGCCTGTTTTTTTTTTCTGTCTTTGGTCATTTTTATTTACCATGTGTGTGGAGCAACTTGCTGTTTCTCTGACTTGGTTTTGTTTACTTAATTTTTCCTTTTTTTTTGCATAGTGATTTCCTCTGTGAGGACTAATCGAATTGTATTGAATGATCTTCTGTGAGCTAGAAAAATGGATGTCTGTGCACACACACACACATATCCCTTTACTTTGCTTTTATCTTCATATTGTTCAAGTTTCTTTCACGGGTTTTTGATGACCATCCTTTTGGTTGTGGTTCACTCCATCTTCACTGACCTCCTAAACTGTTGCCCCCCAGTAGCACAGCGGTATGTCTGCGGACCTACAATGCTGAAATCCGGGTTTCGATACCCGTGGTGGGCAGAGCACAGATAGCCCTTTGTGTAGCTTTGTGCATAACTACAGAAACAAACAAACAAAACAAACCTAAACTGTTTATGTTATTATTATTACAATTACTACCTAGTCTCCTGGCCTTATTGTCAACAGTTTCTTACATAAAGAATGTCCTTGGTTACGTCTTACTCTGATTTCTTCATTAACCACCTCTACTGGTTGTTCGTCATTGGAGCTACATAATAACAGTTACATTTCAGCTTTTCTCCATCCTAACTCCTTGTACATGTGTAAGGGATTCTGGATAATGATTGTGGTAGAAGTAATAAAATGTATTTTAATGTATTATGTTAATTTTAGAATTAAATTCAAGTTGATGTATCTGTCACAAGAATCTTGCCCTCCTTCAAGTACTGGGGAGATGTGAAGAAGTGATGAAATAATATTTGGCTGGTTGGGTGTAGACTTAGATATAGGAAATAATATGGAAGATGCTGGTTGAATTAGGATCCTCCTATACATAACGAGTGTTATGAATTTTTTGTTTGTAATAGAGAATAGAGTTTGTGAATAATTCAATTCTAGATAATTATTCAAGGAAAAAGAGACTGGCATAAAGAACTAGAAGTAATATTTACTGGCAAGCAGTTAGTAGCTGGTATAGCTAATGTTCATGACAAAGCTAAATATATTTCAGAAAATTATTTTAAAATAAATAAATGAATAAAAATAAAATAAAAATGTTGCTTTTTTTATTTATTCTTTGTATTGCAGAAAGTGATGGACTCCACAGAAGTGATCATCAAACAAGAATGTCAATGGGACAGAAATGGTAGTTGTTTAAACCTGAATGGAATTTAGCTAATAGCCAGTCTAAAGATGTTTCATTCAGTTTTTTTTTAGTAAGGTTTATGGCTAAATGATAAATTTTGGGTGTTTTACTGAAGCAAATTTTCTGTGTTTGTATTGTAAATATAATACATAGTACAATGTAGTGTTTTTTTTTTAAGTTTATCAGATGTATTTAGTTGCTCCTCTTGAATTTTATAGAACATGGTTAAATAAGAACTATTAAAGATCTTTAATTGAGCACCCCATTTCTCTGTTTGAAATATAAGATACAGTTTATTTGTTTAGTGCAAGTAAGGAGTTTGTGCCAGTAAATAAATCATCCAATTATTGATTAATCAGTTGCTAATGGTTAACTAGTTATTTTTCCTACTGCTATTTAATACCTTCTTTGACCACCTTTGAGATGTTGTACAGTACATCTAGAGACTACCCAGTTGTGTTTGTGGTTAGCTTGTTGCATAACAGAGAAATGTTAATTAAAGGAGAAATCATAAGAATGAAGGCATAATGAGTTCCATTGTACATATATTCTGATATTGAACTATTCTAAGTTTTATAGAGGAGACTGCCATATATTAAGTTTAAGTATGACCTGTAAACCTAAAACAGTGAAGGGACTAGAGACTGATGAGATTATCATTATATATAAGCTTATTTGAGGTTTTACATAAATTCATTTGCAAAGTACCATGCAATACTTAGTATATATTTTTGTGTATGTATGTGTGTGTGAGCATGCAGATGCCATCAGATTGAAGTGTGCAATAACTATCTGAAAATTTGGGTTATTTGCATGAATAAAATATTTTTGGTATATCAGTGGTCTTTGAAACTTTTTGAATTGTATAAGTGACAGAATTTGTCAGATTTGTATTTTTCATGTGTGTGTGTGTGTGTGTGTGTGTGTGCTGTGGATAATTTAAGGTCATTGATTAAATAACTTTATGAATTGAAACTTTTGAATTGTATAAGTGACAGAATTTGTCAGATTTGTATTTTTCATGTGTGTGTGTGTGTGTGTGTGCTGTGGATAATTTAAGGTCATGATTAAATAACTTTATGAATTGTATAAGTGACAGAATTTGTCAGATTTGTATTTTTCATGTGTGTGTGTGTGCTGTGGATAATTTAAGGTCATGATTAAATAACTTTATGACTACTGAACCGATTACCAGTTAAATTCGATGACGAGGAACCCACTTTGAGACTAATAACGGTTGGAGATGGCTTGAATGGGTAATGAAGAGAAACTTTAATATACCTGATATACCTTTAATGTACTTGATGATGACAAAACCTTGTCGAAACATTGTACATTTGCTGTTATGTTAAACTTATATTAAAGTTTTTTCTTCATTACCTATTCAAGCCGTCTCCAACCATTATTACCGGTTAATTAGCACATATGCTGTTGGTAAGTGTTATTGTCTAATGCCACCTTATCCAATATAAAGAAACATATTGAAGAAACATATATGACTTTGTAACATAGTGCATGGATTTCATCAAGATGTTTTGTATGTTGGATCCTTTCTGGAATATTGCAATGTGAGATGGTTTCAGTTGTTCACAGTTCTTTGAATGTAGACATGAATGAAGGTAAATGTTGATAACTGTGGTTCACAATGTTAACTACACTGACTTGGTACATATTTAAGTAAGGTTACAGATAGGTGCTCATCTGTAAATATATTTTTGTTGTTGCTTAGAATTTAATATAAGAATAGTAAATACTGACTTTGATTTTAAAATATATTTAGGTGTTAACACATTCCATACATTCAAATAGTGTCTTTAACCTTGTAGAATCAGATATTTTCTGCTCATCTGTTTATACTTCATGTAGTATATAAGATATACTCCAATGAGGAAGGGTTTTGATTTTAGTTGTTCATTGTTTCAGCATGTATTGTATTTTAAAAAATATAGCCTGTTTATGTTTTGTATATCATATGCAATTATATTTCTTGTGTATTTTTTTTTTCTTGTAGAAACACGATCTCAGAGTATTGAAAATGAAATCACTGGTTCTGTGTTTCCAGTGGGAAAGCAGCAAAGATGTCAGAAAAGTAGCATGTCAGAAACACAAATGTCAGTATGTCAAGATAAATGTATGACACCAAACCTAGTTGATTTAGCAGTTTCTATTAAAACTGAACCTCTTGAGCCAAAGGAATCTTTAGCAAGCACTTATCTGAATAGTGATTTTGTTGTACAAGAGAATGAATTAAATATTGCACGTACAGATGTCAATACCTCAGAAACTGAAACTGAGCATAATGTTACCCAGTCTTTCATGGAAACTTCTAAAAAACTGAATAATGAGTCGCAGTTTAGTACAGAAGGTTTTACAGTGAATGGGAGACATGTTTTTCTCAACTGTCAAAATAATGACCAAATATTCAGTGACTCGTGCCTTCCTGATGACCATCAAAGTCAAATTCCCACTATTCCACCTTCTATGTCAGTTCTACCTGTTTTTCCTGCTCCTTCCTTGGAAAGCATTCCATCACTTATTGACTCAGACTTAAATTCTAGTAAATGTCAATCAGCATTTTCACCTTCTGGTGTCCTTTCTCGAGAAACTCTTAAAGAGCTGATGACAGTGACCAAAGATGAAGAAACCATCCAGTCTGAGTTGAAGATAGCCAACCAGACAGTGGAACATATTTTAAAATATTTACAAATGTGGAAGACCAGAAAATTAGAGGTAATATTTGATAATAACTTTTCAATGTCTTTTCTTATTACAGAAATTATTTTCTAGTTTAGTTGTATATATATATTGCCTACACACTGAAACAGATTAGGCAAGACAAAGATCAGAGTTAGGATTGGTGTTGTTGATTAGCAGCCTTCCCTCTAGTCTATCACTTTAAAATTAGGGATGACTAGCACAGAGCTTTGCACAAAATTCAAAAAACAAAGCTAGAGTTTGATTTTTGCTTTGACTTGCTTGTATAACATGGCCATATATGGCTGTAATATAAAAAAATATTATTTGAATAGTGAGGTTGCCCTTACAGGTAAGTATTTTCATGAAACATTCAGCTTTACTGGGGCAACTTACACATACTTGTTTTCAACCTTGCCCTTGGTTTTCCAAATGTTTGAAATTGCAGTCAAATCAAACAAAGCTAAAGGCAGGCAGACAAACTGGAATGTGGAAAAAGTGTCTGAGACCCTGCAACGAGTCATCCACAACCAAGGAGAGTATCCACCGAAGAATGAGAAACTACCCATCAGGAACCAAGGAAAGATCAAAGTTGGGTCAAGTGGGACAGATTTCTATCTGGTAGACAACTTCTTATCTTCGTGAGAATAAGAGAAAGACAGAAGTAAAACCTTAGAGTAGGATTGAGGAATTGCCCCTTAGCATTTGAAATAAGTGAGGTGGGAAGTAGAAGCATAGAAAAAGAAACCTTGAGAAAACATCTGAGGAACTCAGTAGTTTGTAGAAAAGGGAGACCACCAGTGGAAAAAGTGGAAGAACAGAGTTTTCACAGCACCAAAGCCAAGATGTGACTATAGAAACAAAACATTTTCAAATTCCATGACACCCAGACCTCAAAGATAAGGGAACATGGATAGTAACAAGAGTACAAAAAATAGAAGAGGTGATACCCCCACGAGGCTATATATGTTGAAAAACCTGGTGGGATTACCTGGGGCAAGAAACTAAAGTAAGTATAGATGACAGCTGAAGAAATACATCCAAAAATCCACATCAAAAAGAAAATATGTAAAACAGAAGTCCTGGATAGAAGATTGAGAAAGGAAAAAGTAAAAAAGTTAGTCATTCTGACAAAGTACACATCAGAAACAAAGAAACCAAAGTAACTAGGACAAAATGGAAGTTCCCTGTTTTCCATTCTAATTGGCTATGGCTCTATCTTGTTTTATTAGGCTTGCAGGATTTTTTACTCAGTGGTTACTTTCTTGAGGCCATTGTTCCTCTACTCTTGGAGAATTAACCTCTAATTGCTCCTTCCAGTGTAGCCTCTTTTGTTGTGACCTCCCATCTCCTTCAGATATCATTTCATTTGGGGAGGCTGGTTTTCCTCTCATTTCATTATCAACCCCCACCCTGTATTTCATTCACTTGGGGATCTCTCTGTCACTTCATTTGTGTAGCAGGCTCATGCTACTTTTTTGTCTCTGTGACATGGAGCTTTTGATACCTGGGCTTTCATGTTTCTTTCAATTCCTGCATAAATCTTTTCGGGGTACTTTTTCTTGAGTCCCTCATTCCTTCTGAATGTGTCCATATATACCCCCTTGGGCTTAGGTGAGATAGTCAGTCCACCAGAACCTAAAGTTTCAAGACATGAAAGATTGACAACTGAATTTGATGATCATGGGCTTAAAAATGAAAATCCTCCAAAGTCAGGAAAACAGAGGTCCTGAGAGCAAGTATCAGGTGAAAGAAGAAACAACAGACAACAGTGAGTGGCAGCTCCTGCAAGGGATAAGGACAAGAAATATTTCTGAAGCGTATAAAAGGAGGTTGAACAACACCAGACACAGATCATTCGCAGCCAAAGCTATACAGTTTGATATTGCATGCCAAATGAATGGAACAGAAGACTGGAGGGGAGATGTAAAGGCAATGACAATAGGATGTCAACAGTGGGCATAAATCCACTAAAAACACCAGGGGATAGAGGTGAGATCGTCAATCCACCAGAGCCTAAGGTTTCAGGACATGAAAGATTGGCAACTGAATGTAATGATCATGAGCTTAAAAGTAAACATCCTCCAAAGCCAGGATAACAGAGGTGAAAAAAGAAACAACAGAAAAGACGTCTGAATGGATCATGAGATAACCAGCCAGATGATGATGGTAAGACTGAAGAGTACCCACCAGTTCGACAACCCATAGAGGCCAGATGCCAGAAATGGATAAGACATCTGGAATTTGCATCCCACTACAACAGAAGCAGTGAAAAGGTGTGGTCATAGGACTGATTGTCATCAAGTGCACAGATAACACAAAGTGCCACCTGTGCTACATTCACCCCACATATATAAGTGGAAAGAGCCCACAGACTGACTTTTAATCCCTCAAGGGCTTCAAATAGATGCAAGTCTGAGTGAGCTGGAGGAAGAGGGATGTACAGGATTGAATAATCCACCATGACTGTGAGAGGTGAAAAAAGACACTGTATCTCTTTAGATACCTGCATTGACAAGCCAGATAGCACCTTTAGAAAAGAAGATAAACCTGTCTCTGTGGTAAATATTATGAAAGAAGACCAAGACAAAAGTGAGTAGCAGCTCCTGCAAGGGATAAGGATAAGAAATATGTCTGAAGCATATAAAAGGAGGTTGAACAACACCAGACACAGACCATTCACAGCCAAAGCTGTACAGTTTGATATTGCATGCCAAATGAATGGAACAGAAGACTGGATGTAAAGGCAATGACAATAGGATGTCAACAGTGGGTATAAATCCACTAAAAACACCAGGTGATAGAGGTGAAATTTTACCCAAAATTTGGGTGGCGTGGAAGGGTGATTGGATATTTTCTCCATTCATTTTCCCTTCTCTTTCTTCCCTGTACCATCATTTTGACCCAGATCGTTTCCATTGTTGTGTATGCTCTGTTCAGTATTACTTCACTTGCACTGCCCTTTTTTTCAGGTACTTGCCAGTGTTTTTCTGACTGTGGTATTCCTCTTCGTCTAGTAACATATCTTCTTACACTTTGAATGGCTGTGCTATATATATACCACCTGGATTGTTTCTTTTTCTGTGGGTGATGACACTTTTTTTTTCATGTCTCGTTCCATCATTTTTATTATCTCATGGCTTTTCTTGTTTCTAGCTATCAACAACCCCTGTATAAGATCTTGCAGGCAGGGATATGGATGACCCCCAACACATCAATGTTTCAATACTTAAGTCACATACAGAGGTTTTCAATATCCACATTGAGTGTAGAGGAGTGGGTGGATGGGTATGGAAAATGTGAAGTCCATCTGCCCCTGCCCAGTTCCTATTGTTGGGATGAGGATCTTCTGTTAGACTGCTTCAACAGTCTGTATATTTTATCTTCCAGACCATTCTGCACATGTGAAGAAAAAAGAACAGCACCACTAGGTATTTGCCTGCCCTTACACCTGGCTAATGTCTACTGTCTTTAGTTGCTGTAAATCATTATACTGTCTGTCAGTGTGGGACCTAATGCCAAATTAATGTGCTTGATGACAAAGTCCAAGAACTTTTCCAGTGTTCTCTCCATGTGAATTCCTCACTTTCCATTTCTTCTACTAGAGTACAGAAGAACCCTTGCATCTCCATTCCCAAGCCACTGGGGAAGTTGATATGGAGAGTTCCTCATCAGGCAGTGCAATTCCACTGGTTCAAGATCTAGTGAATGCACCCCTTATTTGGAAAGTAGGGCTGGGGTGTTACCTGGTAGTGTAGTACAGGACACCCCACTGTCTTATGAAACAAGCCATTCTGGGTGGTTCATTCTTGCCAAATGGGTCATGGGTTCACCTCAGGAAACAGATCTGGGATGCTTCTTTTTATCACTAAGAAGGCAACACGTCCTCCATGTGTAGTAATCTCCATGAGCACTATAATTTGAACGTAGGTTCATTCTTGATGACGGAAGCAAAATGCACCAGAAGTGTAGAGGAAGGATGGGAGAGGTTTCTATCTGAAATACATTTTAGGGTAAGGAAACATATTAACTTCAGCAAAGCTACTCATCTCTTTGTACTACAGTAAGCTAGAATCTAATAGTGAAAATGGTGGTAGGTCCAGTACAGCTAAAGAAATTAGAAAGATGAGCTTTTTTCCAAAACAAGCATCAAAAAGGGAAAGTCCAAGGTGTGTGATATCCACAAAGCAGAGGAGTAGCCTAGTGGGATAGCACTTGGTAGTAGACCACATCCATCTCAAGCAGGGAAGACTCTTAAATCAATGTTATTGTGGTATTTGTTGTTAGGAGAGGAAGTAGAACAAAAGAAAGTATCACTAGAATTTAAGATTGCTCAACTGGCCATTATCTCATAGGCAGACAGCTGTGCTATAAGTCAGGCTGTTCTGTACAGGAGAAACACTTACATGAGATACCATAATAATCATGTGCGGAGGGCTATAGTGTAATGATGATTATATCATAGGCTGACCCAATACACTGACATTTGTAAGGTTTGGAAATTTGTTCAAGATTTGTGGCAGATGTACAAACTTGCATGTAGTGTGCATGAGGTAATGGCCCTTTATGATTAAGAAATATGAGTATCTGTCTGAAAAACATTTTCAGGTAAGGAAAGTGTTAATTTTAACAGCATTATATTCTAAAACCTTTGAAATCAGGCTTAGCTACATTCTTTTTTTTTTTAGTTACAAAAAGTTGAAAAGAAGCTGAGAATGAGGAGAAATCAACTTGTAAAGAAACTTCAAGGTATGTTCATGGTGCCTTTGTAAGTTACAGAATGAAACTGATTGTAAAATTTGTTACCAGTGGATACATTCTAAGTTAACTTTCTGTATACTTTAAATGATTATAAGAACTTTTGAGTGAAAATAAATAATAATATGTAAACAGGCGACTATTGTTGGAATGATATTGTTAGCATAAAATAAGAACAAGACTCATTTTATGGAAATCTAAAATCATCAAAAATATGTTGAAAGGATAAAGAAAGTGAAGTTGTCAATATTTGCCTAATCACATAAGCACTTCAAACATAAAACAACATTTCTGGATTAAGTTTTTCATCAGTTATTGCCTAAAAGGAAAGAAATGCAAGTCCAAGTGGCAACAATATAAAACAGTGTCATAAACATAACCATTTTTCATCAAATAGTCAAATATTTGTCATTAAAGACATCTTATCAGCTGATACTAGATTAAAGTATTCGTTATTTATCAGTGATTGATCTAAGTCAGGATATTTTGGGCTCCATTACGAAATATTTTGGTGACAATAAGGACCATAAATACAGTAGTATGATGTATGTTATTAATTTTATTTTTCTCTTTGTGTCCTGTTTAGTTTTTCTTTTAGATCTAAAATGAATGAAGTTCTCAAAAAATTGTATTGTTTCATGAAATAATTGTATTGTGTCATACTTTACCTTGGGTATGGAGGGTTGTTCATATAGCTTATAATTAAAACTTTGTAACAATGTTGTAGTTCAACCAATAGCACAATCAACCATTATTCTCATTCTTAACCAATGAAGTGTGTATGTTTAATTTTTCACCATGTCTCTTTCATTCCATCTGAAAGTAATCATTACATCTGTTTTACATAGGTCCTTCAATTGTTAGTTATTACAAAGATCATGTAACTGTGTACTAATTTTACCAAACACTCAATTTTGATAAAGAGTGATTTATAAAATGTTTATTTCTAATCACACCAGTTAATATAATTGAAATTTTGTTACATATGTACAAAGATCAGCAAGTGTGTTCTTATTACGTACTCTCAGTTTTTGCAAATAGTAGTGCATAATGATGTACATATAAATATACCAGTTTTTAATCAGTTGTTTATTATTTGCTTGTTGCATTCTCATGTGGTTCTCTTGAAGAAAGTAATAAGTAACAGATACTCAATTCTTGTTGGTACTGTACAATAAAAAAATTCTAACATCTTTTTAAGTAAAAGTACAAATACTGGTAATACAAAACTGTGCATGCTTCTAATATCAGTGAATAAGTCAGGTAGTTTCATATGAGTTTAGGTTTTAGTCTATTATACACACACTGTTAATCCTATTTTACTCATTCAACTTATTTATGGTAATATTAATTTAAGTAGAAATAATGATAAATAAATGTTAGAATATATAAATAATTTTGTGTATTAATCTTTACCTTAATTCTGATTTGTAAATTAGCTAACTGTCATTAATAATAATAATAACAATTCACTTACTACATATAGCTCATACTTTAACATTTGGTCATGCAATTGATAATACAACTAGCACCACGATCACTACTGTGTGTGTTGTATCCCAGTTAGCCTGGTGAGGCCTGGTATTGGGTAAAAAGATTCATTGACACTGGATTTGACAGATAAAATGTGCTGACATAATAATTCATAGTCTTCTTTGTTTTCATTCATAAGTTCTTAGAATTACTAATGTAGTTTTCTCCCATTGATGCTATGCTTATTTGACATGCTCTGGGAACTAGCCAGGGTTGGTTTGCTTTTGAAAATTTAGGGAACTTGGTTTACCTATTGCACTATTTCTAGAGTACTGTTCCTTTGAACTCCCCAACACACATTACCCCCAATTTCTATTAGTGGAGTTAGGGAGTCCTTACTACATCCAGTTTCCAGTTGCTGGGGTGGTGAACAGAGGCTTTTCCTCCAGAGTGTTCGAGTGTGTTCCTTCACTCTTGGAGAAGAGGGTGAAGCTGGGGGCCCCCTACCAAGGTCCCTGGATGTATTTCTTAGATGTCGGTAGGTGTGGCACTGGCCTACGTAAGAGCCTACTTGTAGTACTGGTTATGATTTGATCCTACACTATGAAGTTGGGGTGTTCCTGGCCCTTCTTATGAACAATGTTGGGTTGTATATTGATCACTGATGGAGGTCCACTATCTCCTCATAATTCCAAACGCGAAGTGGTCCCATCCTATATCCTTGGTTGAATACGGTGTTCCACGTCCTCTTCCTATTTCCGGGGGCAAGTGGAATGCTCCTTGCCCACTCAGTTAGAAAGTGAGGATGAATGTTCATAATTTCAGACCAGATGAGTTCTGTTCCTCTGGTTGAGTAAGGCATATATGATTCAGTCATTCTGAGCCTGGGGGTGGTGGCTTTTGGACTTTTTCAGGTGGGAGAGAAAGTTTGTCCACTTCAGCATTGCTTACTTTCTTTTTCTAATTCTGGTGGTTCAGAAAACCTCACTCTATGGCTACAGGTTGGGATCCAATCAAATGTATATCTTTATATCACATTGCAATCCAATTACTCTAGCCACCAATATGGGATATAGGAACCATGACCACTTAATTCTAACCCTGAGTTGTGGAACCTCAGTTATCTGGTTGGGATTGGCCTATAATTATTACTCATGTACTATTCCACCCTTGAAATCAATATTAAGTTCTGTGTGAAGAGCATACCTGTTTTGGACGAAGTGTGGTTTCCATACTTGAGTACCACTCTTATCTTGGTACACCCTGTTCTATACAGATGCTTTCTGTATGGACATTGCCCTCACTGGCCTCTCCACCTTCTCATTGTGGGATTCTAGCTAAAGTGTCAGCAGAGGGTAAGTATGTTTTGGAAGTTAACATTTTCCTAAATTGAAAATGTATTTCCAATAATACTTACATCTGCTGACACTCTCCCACCCTTCCTCCCCACTAGGAGCCAGTGTTAGTGACTGGTATGGTGTAAGTCTTGAAAAATTGATTATATATGCAATGTTAGGATGGAGGATGCATTGACACAGGTGGAGGGATTTGCAAATTAGATATTGCCAAGAGCATTTAAGTGGGGTATAAAAGACTGGAGCATGCGAGACCAATGCTTAGATAGGCAAAGTCAGTGTTGAAGAATAGCTAAAGTGTCAGTGGAAGTAAGTATTACTGGAAATACATTTTCAGTTTAGGAAAATGTTAACCTTAATTTGTTATAACTGCACTAAAAAATAAGTTGATAAACTAAGTAGGACAGAGTTAGTAATTGCAAGTTTTGTTATATATTTTAAATATTTATTTATTTATTATGAATGGCATTTATACTATAAAGAAGTACTTTTAATTTTTTTTAACTATATGAATTGGCTTACTATACCTAATATGTGTATCAAAACCTGTTGCCAAATGTGCTCATACTTGTAGTATGATGTCAATCCCACTGATTGTTGCTAATGAGTTTCTCAAAAGTTGGCAGTTGGTGGTGTTGATAAGACTGTTTTTGGTTTAGTCTATAATTTCAAAATTACAGATGGCTAACTCAGATAGGCCTGAAGAACAAACAAATAAACAATATTTTGCTATCATCAAAAATTACTAGCTTGAAAAGTTAGTGTGCTTCAGAATATGGTCTGTAATCTGATTGATGCTGCATGGGATGAGTTATGTGTATTTGGAATGTTGGTAATTTTAGTGTTGGATAATATAATGTGCTTACTTAACATACAATTTCCAAATAGGTGGTCTTATAGTAAAAAACATATTTTTATTTTTGTGAATTTAGTAGAGCATTGTTTATAACACTGCTTGTTAAATGATCAAGAATGGATATTGATAAGGTTTTTAGATATGGCAGATGTTTTAGTTTTTAAGATCTTGTACTTAATGCAACCATCGTTTTATTTAGACAGGCCAATATCTAGAGCAGCTGTTGTTTTATTTTCTAGATAAGCTACCAAAATAATTCATTTCTAAATTCAGATATCTTGTTGCAGTTTTAATTATTTCATGGAAATTCAGCCAAATATGATTTAATTCATATAATAAAAAGAAATTATATCACATGCACATTGTCACCATATTTAGTAGTCTATCTTATTTCTTAACCTTAGGAGTTTATATTGTTATTACTGCTATTATTTAGTCAGCCTTAATAATTCATATTACTGTTATAAAAATACAAATGTAGATAATATTCAATATGTTCAGTAACTTCTAGTTCATACATAGCTTTAAATATATATACTCTAATTTTTAAAGATAACTAATATTAAACATCATTAATGTTTATTGTAGACATCATAATACATGCTTAACTCACATATGAATGAGATGCTTATAAAAAAAAAGGGCCTGATGTTAATTAGCCTGCTCAGAATGTGAATCCAAGGTTCATACTCCATTAATACAAAAACAGTCTTCACACCTGGGAGATCTGGGCATGCTGTAAGAGTGGTAGTCAAATCCTACTTCTTTGAGATGTGAGTAAGGGTAGAACAAGATGGTGATGCTGTAGATAACTGCCTTTCCTGTAGTTTGTGAATTGAAAATTATGAACAAATATGTGCAGATGGGTCTTTTGTGGAGCTTTTTTGTATATTTTAAAAGCTTGTCTTTAAACATTCTCAGTCTATCTTTTTTTTTTCTGTAAATTATAGAGACGAAGTTTGTGCAATTTGTTTAACAAATTGTTGTCATTTGTCTCAAAAAAAATTATTTTTGTTAGGTAAATGAATAATAGATGTTTAGTCTAATTGTCAAGTTGGTTGTAAGATTGCATTAATTATATGTATTAGCCATTCAGAAATGTTTTTGAAGTAGTTCAGTTTTCTCATTTCATTGTTTATATGAGGCAACAATGTATTTTAAAAGTAGTCATTCACTATAACTTTATTTTAAACTTATAAATTGAAACGTCATTGTTTTCAGAAGCATTAAATATATCACTAACTTAACATTCAATGGCTAATAATACACACACACAGTACAATTTTATTTAGTTATCTATTATTTTGGTAAAGAGAGAAGGCAAGAACCTAAATTTTATTCCTGGATTTTGTTTCTATAGGGCTCTTCTTTTTTTTTTCTTTTATTATTTTATTGTAGTTTACAAGATATTCCTCTCATCTCAAAAGAAATGTAACTCATTGTACTAACGTAAATCTCTTTTCAAAGGGAAGAAAAGAAAGACAAAAGACTTCCAGAAGACTACACAAAAGGCTGAAACTGAAGGTAATACATCCTAAATTGGTTAGTTTTTGTTATGAAAACAAAATATTATTTACATGTATATATATATATGTGTGCCCATAAAGGTCATAATTTATCCATTATTTTGTAATCACATAATAATTTAATACATAAAATAGTTCTTTATCATCAAAATTATTAAGGCAGTAGTTTACAGTGTAGAACTTTTCACAATGTAATCGCTATCAGAGCATTGGTTGTGGAGTTTTTTTGTTTTTTTTAATTTATAACTACATAACTATGTGTTGGTAGAAGAACAACAGACAACCAAATTTCATAATAAAACTAGAAATTTTATTTATGGATAGCAGTAAAGTAAAGGGCTTTTAAAACTAAACAATGTTTCACAGGTACCCTGGCATAATCAGGTAAAATGTATTAGATATAATTCTGAAATCTTACTTTTAATTTTAAAAATTCAGAATTTCATGATAATTCATTAGTATATGTAAAATAGATATTTATGTATAAGTCGTTTAGTTCTCAGAATTTTTATTTTGCACTTACTATACAGATGAAGTGCAGTATATGTAAAGTTTGTGTTCATGTATTGAAGTTATAATACAAGCAAATGTTTTGAAACAAAAACATTTGTGTATATTTATTTTAACTCGATCATGCCCAGATGGGTGCATCCTGCCTCAAGGGAAAAATTGAAACATTTAACTAAAAAATTTATAAAAAATTAATTTGTAGTCATTTATCTACACATAAAACAAATTTCAGACTTGAAATGTATTTGATAAGATGTTTTTATTTCTTTAATTTTATGCATAAATTTAGGTTTGAGAGTTGATATCAGTGTACTCTAAATCAAAATTGATTATTATTTGTGAATTTCCAGAATTTGTTTTCTGAGAATAACATGGCTGTCATAGCTATGGGCATCCACATTTCTCTAGTTATAGGTTTGATATCATCTTGCTCCCCTCTGTAATATATCTTGTGAACACCCACGCTCATAGCTTCCAAGGAGGAAATAACACTAATGTGACCTTGTAACTTAAATATAAGTGTATTTTTATCAATATTTAACCAAGCACTGTTTCTTAATCTCATTTGTTATTGTGTGATGTAATTGCCTTTATCTCAGCAGTTATCATTCTTAAACTGATGATCCTAAACATGTAATGAAAGCTATTTTCTTCTTCTGTTCAAGGGTATAAGCCAATATTTTATTATTTCCAATTCAGTGTGAAAAATATATTTTTGGTGTAAAAAATATTTTGTCAGAAGTTTTTATTTTTAAGATAATCTGGACTATTCCTACTTGGCAAATGAATTGCTAATGTTGACTAAATACCACCACTAATATACCAGTAGATACCACTGTATGGTTGCCATTATGTTTCTTTTTAAAATATGCAGTAATTCCCCACTGAAATTATGTAAATTAAATAATTAAGAGATGTTTTAGTATCGCTTATAAGGATAATAAAGTTTTTATGTTAAACATGTCATGATTGCAGTTAGAAATAATTAAGTAGTCAGTCTGTTTATGTACATTATTTGAATAGAGTGAACATAAAAATAATATTTAATAAGGATTTGAGTCATTAGAATATTTTTCAGTCACCTAATATGCTCACTAAACAATAAAATTAAATAAACTTATGCCCTTGTATGACAATCATATTTTATTTGGTGAATGTGGTAAAGAATCTTAATGTTTACTAAAATTGCATATAAATAAAACTATAGTACATCTGTTAAAAAGTAAAGCATTGTAATTTTAAATAAAGAATCAAACATCAACAAGATACTCTTATTAAGCCTTAAGCAATTTCCAGCTATGTAAATTTTGTTTCATACTGTACATATGTTTAAGGAAACTGTATGTAAATGATGATGACAAAATCTTATTGAAACATTATGTATACTTGTTACTGTGTCAAACTTGTAATAGTTTCTTTGTTACCCATTTAATCCATTTTTTAAGTGTATAAAACTTACAATATCTCAAATTATCTGATGTCTTCTCATTAAAGTTATGTAGCTTTCAAACAGATATAATTTAACATGCAAATACATTGAAAATTCACAAACAAAAGAAACTATTATTGAAACTGTATAAACTCATATTTGTATATTTACTATTACACTATAGTCTAATTCTTACTCTATCCAATCATATCCAGATTTTTATAGCTGTTTTCAAAGGTACATTTCACTACTAAGTAGTCAAACCATTTGATTTGGCACCATAAAGAGGTTTGAACCAAGAATTGTTTAAAAAAACTAAGAAAAATGTTTGAAAATAAAGTAAAAACAAGGTATACAACATGTTTAATATTGCAGTGCAAATCCTGAAGACCATTATTAATTATCGTACATTTTACAAACAATGTAATGTAACTAGTGAATGCAATGTTGTATATTATGTGATTAAAAGGGTAGCAGTTTCTGTGAAAACATTATTTAATCATTCAGTCTTTTAAATCATGTGTATGAGATATATTATCATATTTTTAATTAAAATTTAAGAAGTAAAATACAATTAAAATAGGAACTTAAGCTCCACTATCATTATTCCATCTCTCAGTTGTGAGTTTTGAAAAAAATGTGAACATTAGTATAATACAGATGTGACAGGAGATGACTGTCCTAGATATTATCAATAACATAACATCAAAGGAGAACAAGGAAATTTTTGGTCTGTATAAGCTTTTCTATGCACTACATTAAACTAAAATCTCAAAAAAAAATTGGAGCCAGCCCTTATTATTCAAATTTAAGGTTTCCCTTAAACTCTTTTAAATGCATCCATCATACCCAAAGGCAACCTGTTACAGAGGCCAACTATCTTGTTAGAAAAATAAGGCTGTCTTAACTGAAGCTGATTTTTTCCTTGCCAAAATTTCAATTTGTGTCCCCTAGTCTTACCATTCTATCCATTAGATAGGAAGAAAGATAATGCATCAACACTATCACTTCCCTTAATAGTCTCATAAACCTCAATCAAATCCCCTCCAGTTCTTCTTTTTTCTAGAGAAAACAAGTTCAGAGTTCTTAACCTACCTGCATATGGTAACATTTCTGTTTTGGGTATTATCCTTGTAGCCCTCCTTTGAACCCTTTCCAACAATTAAATGTCCTTTCTGAGGTAAGAACCCAAGACTGGGAACAGTATTCCAAATGTGGCCTAACCAATAACTTATACAATAATGTGTATGAGGGTATGAGATGTAACTATTACACACTCACACAATGGGTTTTTTCTCACGTTCAGAGGTTGCAAGTTGACATGAACAAGAGATAATAGCTCAATCTTATGGTAGAAGTAAATATCTGTTTTAATTCAATTTTACAACTGAAAAATTAATTTTTGGTATAATTTTTATACCCAGCTACAAGCTGTTCTGAAGATGGGTCATCAACGCCCGCCCAAGAAAAAGAATTAGGAAACTCTATGGAAGATAAGTCCACAGATATGTCCTTCTTAGCTACTACTACACCGAATGTTTCATTAACAACAGTTGACCTTCCAAGTAATAGCAGCACTATAATAAATCCAATTAGCACAACATCTTCAGTAAATGACTCAATAAAAGTCACCTATTTGGGAGCTTTTGGTCAGTCAAATATGAATATGGTCCAAGAAATAGCGGGAATTTTACAGAGACAAGGTTGCTCAAAAGTAAATGCTGAGAACTTGTTAAATTCTGTGAGTACAAGTCATGCAGATTCAACAACAGATCTAACACATGAAACTGTCACAAAACGTAAACCTTCAGATTCAAGTTTACAAGAAAAGGTAACAATTGCTGAAGCTAAAACAAACACTTCAAAAAAGCGAAAATTAAGTACAGAAGCTACAAGTTCCTCAGAAGCATCTACTGTGGAAGAAAGTGACTGTAGCCTTTCTAAGAAACATAGAGTTACAGCCAAATCAAAACATTCAGTTACAAAAACAACCGACCAGACAGTTTTACAGCCAGAAGTAACTTTTATTGAAGAAACTATATGTGTCTCTCCATTGAAAAAACGAAAAAAGATGGAAAAATCAAAAAAGTTTTCAACTGTTTCTGAAGATAAAACAACAAGACAGCATATAGTAGAGAATGAGTCATTTTCAAAACAGTCAAGGTATGATTTAAATTTTGTAGCAAATACATTTATATATTTTCTTCTATATTTGATCACTTTTGTAACATTACTTTTATAGGGTATACTATATAACATTAGTGCGTTAATGCCTTATGTTTTGTAGTTAAAATTTGCATGTATTTTGAAGCCCAAGACCTTTTTTTTTCTAGTAATTTTTATATTTCCTAAAGTGAAATATTGAATATACATTTTAAAATATGCAATACAAGTATCGTAAACTGATACTAAACTGAGTTTTATAGGGCTTGAAAGTTAGTTGGTATAAATGGTTTCTTATAGACTTAGAGACTTGTAAAGCACCAAACCTATTCATTTGCAAGTCAAGTTTAAGGAATGCTAACTAACTACAATAGTAAATTATTCTCTCTATAACATCTATTGAACATCATAAAATTATTTATCACCCTTGTTATCCTTTTGTAGATGAATTTTTCTAAATTCAGTACAAATAAATTTGTTTGTTTGAAGTTCAGTGTGTGTTTTGTAATAGTAAAGCCACATCGGGCTATCTGCTGTGTCCACCGAAAAGAATTGAGCACCTGATTTTAGCATTTACTGCTGTCCCATTGGGGGACTTTTAAGTTAAGCACAAAACTACACAATGGGCTATATGTGCTCTGCCTACCACGGGTATCGAAACCTAGTTTCTAGCATTGTAAGTGCAGACATACCACTGTGCCACTGGGGGGCTACAAATAATGTAAGCTAAAAGTTATTCTGATTGCCTAATTTAAAGTACCTTCAAATATTTCTTATACACCCTACACTGATTAGTCACTTAAGGCTGAATGTGGGATATATTGGGTTAAATGCAGTGTAAATGGGTAAACAAAGGAGGTCTTAATAGCCTTTTGATGTGAAAAAGAATGAAACATTAATTAGATGTTATAACCTTGAAGGATTTTTGATATTCTAATAACCTTAGTTGGGTGTGTTTTAACCTGGAATTTGTTGAGTATATAAGGGAGAAGGCTAGGAGTAAGAACTTCTAAGGTAGGGTGTATAGTTCTATTTAGTTCTATTCAATATTTTATAGTTCTGTTTAATATCTTTTTTGTAAGGGTGGAGGTTGGGAGCATAATTAGTAGAAATATTAGTGTGGTTTCATTTCTTTTTTAAGAAATTTATGGGTAACTACCTTCCCACAACTGGCTATAGGCAGTGAAAGGCAATAGAAGCTGAGATGTTGTGGGTGTAAGCATTCAGCTTCATACCCTTATTTATTCTTTTATGATTTTCCATGACAGCTGACTAGATTGATGTTGGCATTTGGATTTTGTGTAATAAAATGGATATCCCCAATGCATTTGGGTACTGTTACCATAGACATTATTTACTATGACAATAAGTTGACAACCTGGAACTATAACTGTGATGCGATATAAATCTATATATATTTGTAGTTCATAATCTTAAAATGATGGAATTTATAGAAAAAGGAAAACTCTCATAGTGCGCTTAAATAAGAATTTTTATTATAATTCCATCAAAGCTGTGGAATTTCCAATTATGGTGTTTACCTATGTAAATAAGCCTGATAATCTAAATAAAATGTATCCAAAAATCAAAAATTATTGCTACTTAATACCATATCATGTTGGTGTTAAACATAATGTAACACAAAATACATGTATGACTGTAAGTTTTTAAATTATTTGGACACTGTTGAGCTTAAATAATTTGTATCTTATCTTTTAATATAAATTCAAATACATGCAAGTACATACTTTTTTTTCTCTTTCTCATAACTGTTTCTCTATTATTGTTATAATTGTTACATGCTCATTAACGTTCTATAAATAATGAAACACAGTAAAAATAATTTCATCTTAAATAAGGATGAAGGGTTAGAAAATTGGAAAATAAACAGATGGCATGATATTTTTAAATATGTAAACTAGTAATCACAGGACCATGGCTTTTTTATATTTATATGTTGCGCAGCATTTGTTTTCACACTTCTGAGGATGACATGAAAAACATTGAAACGTATAGTGCCTTTTTGTGACTGTTAATTGGTTTTAAATAAAATTTTAATTGTATATTATACAATGTTGATCGTTGAGTATTTTAATATATTTTATATATTTATACAAGTTCCCTTGAATTGTATCCTAATTATTAAGTGTTAGCTAATATTAGTGTTATTTGATAATCTTGTTACAACATTGTTGTTCTTGGTAGAAACCATTAGCATTGCTCTACATACATTTGGGTCACTGCTACTCATCAGAAGTCAATTTGAACATGTGAACAATCAGAAGTGCAAGAATATTTAATAGTGGTGGAGTTTAAATATTATACCATTTTTTGTAATAAAATGATGTTTGTTGTTGCGTCTTGCCATTTGAACTAGTATACCTAGATTTAAAACTCCAACATTAAATAGGATTCTAAAAAAAGTACTTGGGTACCTAGTTTAGAAGAATTAAAGGGAAATGCATTGTTAGTGAAGGAAAATCAATTTATCTAATGCAACAGAGAATAATATAGATTTTTAGATAGATCTATAGAAATCACTTGACACAAACTGAAATACATGACACAGTCAGAGTAATGTATATAAAAAAATAGTTAAAAATTGAACAGGATTTTCTTAGGTTTGTTCTTTTATGAGCTAGTATGCTAGATTTTTGCTGTTCTTGAGTAAACTCCTTTTATTAAGTGAGTGGTACAAAAATGCAAGTAAAGCTCTCAGTTTGGATCATAAGGGATTTTATAGTAATAATTGTTTGATGCTTGTGTCTGAGAGAGAGAATTTCTCACAGAACCTAAACAACTTCTATAAGTACTTGGAAAACATAGCATTTCAAATCTATGATTATAAAAACACAACACTGATTTGAGTTGTATGCATAAAAATTAGCACTTTCAATTCCAACCATAGTAAGAAGTTTGTATGGGAGGCTAAGAGGCAAAGCTGCTTTTTGTATGAACGAATTTAACACAAACGTAAACTGTATAATAATTACCAAGTCAGAAAGGATATAAAGTAATAATTAAATTTGTTAGCATAATTATCTGTGCTTGTTAAAAAAAGCTTACAGAATTAGTGTTTGGGTGATTTTAGTAATTCAGCAATACATTTCAGTTTATCAGGATTTTAATTTTTCTTCTTGTTGTTTAGGAACAAGAAAAAGAAATGCTCTACTGAAGAAAAGCTTTTGGGTAAGTTTTATGATTGCCATGTAATTTGTGTGTGTGTAATTTAAAGCCTTTTGATTTAGCTATGATACTTGCACTAAATTACCCCATTAAGCATTTCAAGAGAAAGCTACTTTTATTCTGTTCAGTTTGTTGAAAATAATATTTTAATATAATAATAATAATATAATAATTATAATATAATAATAATAGTTTGTTGAAAGTTTCTTCTTTCACATAAGTGGTATGGCAAGAAAAATATCAGACTAGTGACCACATGCAGTACATGTACCAGTTTATCATGTTCAGGAGTTAGGAATGAAATGCACTCTATATATTTTTTAACATATATATATATATATAAATAACTCAACAACATTAATTGTAGATAGGCAATTTTTTTATTCAGCACTCTAAAATAATAATGATTAAATTAATATAAATCAAAAACATTACAAAGAGACACAAAAATCAAAATTAATTTTTCCACTACCAATTCTTGTTGTCATCATTAAAACTCATAACAGATATTCCATCTATCAGACATGATCCACTTGCTGATGTCAAACTAGCCAGCAACCATAGAGAATCAGTTAAGGGTTAGGAGTTGAGTGCTTGAACTCTTACAGTCTCAACTCTTACTGCCTTTTGCTGTCTACAGCAAGTTGTGAGAAGGCAATTATCCCTAACATTTAGATACAATATTAAAGTAGAAATAAACCACCCAAAATTTCTACAATGTAAAACTCCCAACCTCTACCCTTTTATGAGGTGTACAAAAAAGCAAAAATTTTCTCATAATAGAAACAGACCACCATTTTATATCTACAAGACTCACAACCTCCACCGTTTTATTTAGTAATAACAAAATAATGTTAAATGGAACTAAAAACCATTACCTTAATTTTCCATCCTCCTCCTCCCTTTTTCTTGAAAATTTGTTCAAGTATAAACCAAGTGAGCTGAGACAAGCCCAGCTACCTGAAGTTGGTCTTTTTGCCTCAGTATACTGAACAAAATACCTAAATATTTTAAGGTTAGTTACTTATAAGCCAAGTATGACCTTGTGTAACTAACAACATCTTTTTTCTTCTTTTTTTTTGCACAATATTTTACAGATCGTAAAAGTTTAACATTAGGTTACCGTAAAAAAATCAGGGTTGTAACCAAACTGTTACATCTTCAGATGATGTTAGTGAATCTGTATCAGGTATCACGGCAAAATCAAGACAATCTGATGCCACTTCCAAAACAGCAGAATATCAAGTGGAATGGCAAGCACTACAAAAGGAGATTCAGGCTCATCAAAGTGCTGTTGTTGTTGTCAAGGTATCAGTACTTTTGTATTTGAAATTAATGCTTGATTAAATACCATTTAGCATATAAATTTTAAGCTGAGATAGTTATTCTTTGGTGTATAATTTTTATAACTGACTATTGTGCCAAAGAAGTGTGACATCTGAATGCAAAATTAACAAAAATTGTTTCAGATCCGTAAAGGAATCAGCTTAACTTTTTATTAATTTTAGTGCGTGTAACAAATGATCAACTTAAAAAAATGGTGCTTCTTCATTATTGAATGATGGGCAGTTTCATTTCATTTATGTTCACCTTGTAAACTCTGATTAGGATAACTGTTATGTTGTACTTCCAAAATGGTCGTACCTCCTCTTACCCAAAGATATCTTGGTCCTGGACTGTATTCTAAGCATTGCTAAAATTTTGTGTTCCAATTTAATCCTTGGCAGTAATTTTGATTTTAAATTTTTCAGAGCTCTTTAAGGTCTGAAAGATAATGAGGGGCAATCAGTTCCGCACCGTTTCAGAACATATGCTGATCATGTGATTACCCTCCACCTATCGTACTCCACCCTCTGTAATAGTGCAGCTAGCTTCCTCTATTATTCTAGAATAATCCTCACTTTCTTGATTGGCATTCTATTGTACATACGTATGTTTTACCTCGCTCTCCATGTGACAACACAATAAAGCTTTCTAGCCCATGTGTACCCCCTCGGTGAGAAGAGGGCTATAGTTGTCATTACTGTACTGAACAATGAAGTATACAATAATATTCAGTATCCTGAGCAGACCACAGTTGTTGATCAAAAATTTCTTATGCAAGGTGCTTTCACTGGATGGTTTTTGCCTGGGTAGACTGCACTTGTTGATCTCACAAGCTTACAAAAAGTGTCCACTGGATGTTTTTGCCCAGATGGACCGCACTTGGCATAATCCGACATATCCAAAGGCACTTCCCATGGATGTTTTTTGCCTATGAGGACCACACTTAGCCTTATTCATATGCAATTTATGGTCCTTCAGCCATAGACATGTATAGTTATTTCGTTTCTCTCTGGCACCATACTGTGGCTCACTATCACTACGGCCTGCCACATATGTGGACAAAGTGTGACATGTTGACAATGGGCTGGTTATGAAAACCCTCACGATCACACTCATACCTATAATTGTTTTTTCATAATTCTTTGTATCCAAGGTGCTTCCCCTGAATGTTTTTTGCCCTGGAGGACTGCACTTGTTGAGCTCAGTATCTTATTCAAGGCATTTCCAAGGAATGTTTTACCTGGATGGACCACACTTGACATACTCTGATGTAACCCAAGGTAGTACCCTTGGCACATACTTATACATACCTGTTGTCGCTTTCACACTAGACTTTCCATGTTTATCGATGTCATGCTGTTTCAAATCATTATAATACAGGACTTTTCCACTGATTCGTTGTTGTACGTCTCTTTCCTGAACGCATTGGTGCCTGTCAATTCAGTTTTGCCCTCTTTTTGTTCCTGTATAAATTACTGGGTGAAGAGCATACCTGTTCCAGAAGTAGTGCTAAACCCCATAGGTCTGCTTTCTTTTCATATTCTTGCATACCTGTTTTTTCAGTGTGGTTTCTTCCCACTTGATTGGATGTGACTTAACTGGCCTCTTCACATTTGCAATGTGGAATTTTAGCTTTGGGTGAGAAGAGGTAAGACAGTTTCAGAAGTTAAAATATTTTAACACTGCAAATCTACTTACCCCTTCTCAACCACTTCCCGCCCTTAATCCTCACTGATATGCTGGTGTTTCTGGTTTGTACCTGCCAATTCTTGAAAATGAAGATTATTCTAGAATAGTAGAGGGAGCTAGTTGTACTAGTATGGAGGGTGCTGTATGATTGGTGGAAGGTAGTCACATGATCAGCACATGTTCTGAAATGGAGCGAAACTGATGGGGTAAAAAGACTGGTGCGCTATTAGCAAAAACTTTTAGCAATGCTTAGAGGGAAGTCCAGGATCAAGATAGCTTTGGGTGAGAGATACCTATCAGAAATACATTTTTGGTGTAAAAAATGTTAACTTTTGCAGTATAAAAATTACAAATTTTGTTTCATTGTTTCAGGTGTTTTATTTTCTCAGCTTGAATAATACTCTTAAATGTTATTAAGTTATAATAACTTTCATTCGTCTTCCAACAGTTTTCATGTATGACTAAAAAATCGTTAGGGCTTCACATGATAGTATATGTGCAACTTAGCAAGCTTTGCTGTACAAGTTGAACTACTGTCAGTGACTACTGTTTTGTTTATTAGATCCATCAAGGATACCTATACTCTGCCTCATCAGACACAACGGCTAAAAGATTTGACCTCCAGGTCAGAAGTTTATTTAATCATTGTAAACAGTGTGCAAATAAATTATGTTAATATGTACAAAAATCACTAAGGTGTTATAATGTATTAGTCAGTTTTTGTTTTTAATATACTAATGAAATTATAAACGTTTTTGTTTTTAATAGTACCATCTAGAATTAACTTTTCCTTTTTCCTTTATATCTGAATAGTTCAGTTATCTGTTATTAAGATAGAAATGATAAGCATGTAAAAATTATAATTTGTTCAAAATGTAGCTTTCTTGATCTGAACTGGAAGATAGTAGCTGAAAAAAGGCTTTTGAGCTTTATGTGGTGATTGTTTGAAAAGAAATATATAATAGTAAAATGTCTAAACCAGATTTTCAGTTTACTGTAAGTTTGGCATTTAGTAAGAAATAAAAAGATCATTGTTATCCACAACATAGGTAATTAGATTATAAAGAAACTTTTTATGTAAAAACTAAAACCAAAAAGGGACAATATGAAAGAGATGTTAACTGTAAAAGCAGTGTATCCATTGGGC